CCAGAATATAAAGAAGGTCATGCACTTCGTGTAACGGTGACTCTAGAATCCAATTAAAAAGTTTAGTATAAGGTACAGTCATTCCCACTTAATGTGATCACAGTTTAATGCAATCCTCTGCTTATTTCAGTCAGCACCTTCGGAGCCAAATCAATTGTATGTCTTTGTTTTCACGTTTTCCTCAGTAATTTGATCACCTTCAGCTGTTTAAAAAAATAGCTCAATTGGGAAATCTGGCAACATCTTTTAAGAATTGCCACATAACATAAAGTCAACGAAGAAGCTCCACAATGGCCAGCTCCAAAATCGATGTGACAAGAAGCAAAAATTCAGTTGTCTAAAATGGAAGCCGAATAGGGTGTGTCAGAGTTGAGGAAAATTCTTGCAAAGAATCTTGTCTCAAGATGAAGTGATGAAACGTTGTCGTTTATTTCTCTGTATACTCATTCCAACTCACTTGAAGATTGTAAATATGTTAGTGCTGCTGTTGGCATCATGGAGGCCTGTTTCCCAGTTGAAATGATAGAAATATTAATGCATTTCTTTGAAGCTGATAGTATCTTTTAGGGGTGAAGGCACCTCCTATTTGATTTGCAAAGGTGTAATCCTGAGCTTCCCATATGGCAAGCTGGCATTTACCTCATAAATGAGTATGGTATATTGCTATAGAAAAGGCTGAGAAGGCCAATGATGCAAAAATGGCTCCTTTTATTTTATTGGAATTTGAATAATTCCAAATATGTACATGACTATTATAAAGTTTAGAGTAGACTCAGATAGTTAATTCTGCAAATTGAATGATTTCTGACTGTCCATAATGGAATAAGAGAATTACTTTGGTCTGTGCAAATATGGGTGAGATTGACAAGCTGCATGTCTTAGAGATTGCAAATTACTCATTTCATACTGCTTTCAGAACTGAGTATATCTGCAGCTCAGGTATAAATCATTAAAGGGGAAAAAAAAGCCAAATGTAAATCAGTATCAATAGCTATTTTGAAAAATATGCCAAATGGTGTATGCCACAGATCCTATTTCTATATACCTACCATGTTTGAGAGAACAGCATGAGCTGCCCTTGAGAGGGTTACCCATGGAGTTCCAAACAGGGCCAATGTGGTACTTTCCAAGAAAGCTGCAGTAGAGCAGGCTGTGTCTTTCCTTTATTAAAGTCAGCTAGGTCACGTTCTTCACCATACTTGCTTTAGAGTCTAAGTTCTATGTGTCCAAGTATTTTATTTTGTCCTGCTCCACAGGGAAGCATCAAATGGCTTGCTATGCATGCACCTAACTCTGAGGATGTGTGTGATACCAAAGCGTGCCTTACTGTGAGGAAGGGAGAGAGGTAGGGCCGGACTCTTCTTTGTGTCTGAGTTTGGAGAGGGAAATGGAACCCATAATGTGATTCCCATCAGCAGCTAGCCCTTTAATCTATACAAATGAAATACTCAATTTAATAGAATTCTAAAAATAAAATAAATGCTTTGTTCTTAGTGAATCTGCCATTCAGAGTTAGTCTTGGCAGCACATCAACCATACTTGAAATGTCTTTAAGTGGGTATTTTTTTTATTGTGCTTTTCATCTAAACACATCTTTTGAGTTGTTAGAGTTTTGAACAAGAAACAGGAAGGCTGAACTCTCAGAGCGTCTGTGTGTGGCTCTGTGGTCCCCATTTTCTGACTTAGCAATAAAGAACTTACCTCAATAAGTATTTTGGCCACACTGCAGCAGAGTTGAGGCTAAAAAGTAACAGTAAAATGATTTTGGAGTAGAAAGAAATACAGCATAAAGAGGTGTTTGTAATGAAATGAATTACAGTTGTTACCAAAGTGGATATATTGTACTGGGGAAATTGGATGCCAAAAAGTGCTACAGAGTATGGGAGTTAAAAGAAATATACTCACTACTTATTAAGCGTTTACTGTGTTCTAGGCACTGTGCTATTTTTTCATATAATATTTCATCTAAAGCTCACCACATCCCTGTAAGATATAAAGAGGAAACTGAGGTCTAGATGGGTTGTTACATAGCAAGTGGCTCAAACACTAATCTACCTGACTTCATGGTCTTCTGCTAAATTTTGGTGGATTTTTTCTTTTTTTTTTTGTATTTTTTGATGTGAATCAAAACATTAAGTATTTTTATTAATGTGTCAAGAGTATTTGCAGAAATCTTATAATTTTTAGAGTTTTCATGTGAATATTTAGAATTTCAAATCACTTATTGGTCTTAAAATGTTACTTAAGTGTATTTAATTAAGAGTATTTCTGTCATTGGAAGCTAGGCAAGAATTTTGGAAAGACGTTTTAAATTAGTTGAGAAGCGTACTTTGGGGGTCTGAAAGTGTGCAAGAGAAAAATGAATTCTTATTTACCTTCTGCTTGCAGCCATGAAGTCCCTGTGGCTGAAATGTTGCATTTAGAACGAGTGTACAGAATCATTTAGCTATATATTCAGGGATGCACGGTTTTTGCTGTCTGTCTATGTCCTGTCAGGCAGGGACTGAGTAGATACTCTGCTATCCAATGGACAGAATTACATTTGACACAGAAGATGCCCAAGAGTTGGTGGAGACCTGTCAGAGCCCAGCTTGCCTGGCTCACTGTTGCACACACATGCGGTCTCAGGGCAGGTGGGTGAGGGTACTTACAGCCATGAGGGTCTTTTCTCACAAAGAAAGGTTATTGGGTTGCAAGTTATTAGCTGTCATTGGGTGAAGCGTTTCTTTCTTTGTTGCATTCTTACCTTCTTCATCTTCCATCTATGTGAAATATCGTAAAAATGGCATTGGAATACAACAAAATATCCCTTGACTCTTGTCCTCTATGAACTTAGAATCCACTGGGAAAGATAAAATATAATCTCTTGAAAACTAATGTTAGAGGAGAAAAAAGATAGTTTCTGGTCCCCTCTCTACTTCCCTTAGAAACTAGCCCTGATGCCTTCTTTACGAGGGTACAAACTCAGTCCTATTCATTAATGGCTCCACAGTCCCTCAAGCAGGGCCCACACAGAGACCCTCAGTAAAGATGTGGGAATGAACTAGCAGTCAGGAAGGGCTTCATGGAGGCGGAAGGCATTTAAGATAGTTCTTTGTAAGAGTTTTATAGGTATGTGTTGGGGGAAGGAGAGAGCCAGGAAAGTATATGGTCAGTTAGGGGAGAACTATTTTGGGTGAAGTGAGGTGCTGATAAAGGAAAAATTTTGAGATATTGTCAGAAAAATAGGTGAGAGCTACATTCCACATTTTGGAGAGCATTGAATTGCTGATCAAGAAATGCTCAGAGTCTGTGTGTTGTCCATGATGGGAGATGATTAGAGCAGTAAAGCAGACCAGGGTTGTGATCGGACTTCTCAAGCCTGAAAGATAAATTACATGCCTACTTTCTAAAATTTTGTTGCTCATGTAGGAGAATTTTTTTTTTCTTGCACTAAGTAGGTGGACTATTTGATGTAAAGCCACTGTACTTTTCTGACATATATCACTATACTGCAGTTTACGGAAGGGATATTATTAAATCTGTTTTAGCTGATTTTTGTTCCTAGTCACCTGATGGACTTCTTGCTTGAATTATAATTTTGCTGTTGCCTGATCTCTCTGTAGGTGAACAAATAGGGAAAAAGAAAAAAAGAAAATAAATATTTGCTGGTTCATGGAAATCTTCCAGTTACTTTTACATATGTAATATTATAAATTTATTGCATTTCATATACCTATCCTAATCCCAAGAGTAGAAAAATGCATATAAAAATATAAAAAGGTGAACCTGTTAGAGAAAAGGAAAAAAAAGAATAAAAGAAGTCAATGAAGTTTGTTGCACAAAATGCCTGCTATACACTTGCTAGGGATGGTTACAGATTGGACTCGGAGCTCAGGGCTTTTTGATTTCCAGTGCAAAGAGAGAAACATGATGAATTATATGATTCATAGTGTTCATGAAATAAAAAGAAATCAATTACCCAGGAGTAGCCCAGCTAGTTCTGGAAACTGAGAGAACATTTTCCCATGAGTCTTCATAAGGAAGACTCTGAAGCATTTTATTTTGGCTGCCAGTGGGAAGGGGTGATATCCTCTTACGAAAACCAAGGAGTCAGATGAGCTCCCCTGCTGTCTGGAAGCAGACCAAGGTGGTAACTATAGGCAGGGCTGATGCTGTCATCTTTAGCCCCTAAGCACCTCACGCAATAGCTTTGTAATTAACTCTCTAAGATACACTCTTTATCCCCTTCATATCAGTCTGCACTTATGCTTGTTTGTTTGCTTACTGTTTATTCTCCCAAATAGATTGTAATAAGGGCAGGGACTTTAGGTGTCTTATCCTTTCATCTCCACATAGCACAAAATCTGGTATATATTAGGAGCTTAATAAATATTTATTGAATGAAGGAAGGAATGGAAAGAAGAGTTAAAATGTACCCTAAAGTGACTGAAAGCTTGTTGAAGGGGATTTTTTAACAACTTACAGGCCAGGTTACATTAGTTTGCTTAGCTCTAAGAATATTTGGAGTGTTTACCAGAATGATTGATCTTGGAACAGATGATAGCAGATAGTTCTTTGTAAGAAGAGTCCACATTCTTCTTGCCAATAATCAGATAGCATCAGACAATCATTGTCTGTTGAGTTCACCTCACACAAGAAATATTTAGAGTAGATTTTATAATCTATATCTTACCAATGAAGAAGACACAAAAACTCAGAGAAGTTGAATTATGGATTTTTATGCTACTTATAAAAATAATGAAAAAAATTTTAATCAAGACATTGTCATCAGTATATTATATCATTTGCCTATGGTATAGGTGGGAGCTACATTCACACACACATTAGTTAAATGTTAAGCATTTCTAAAATAATCAAGGTGTTTGTGGAAACCAGTCGTATGGCTGATTATTATTTGCTTCCTTTTCATATATGGATTACTGTCATTCCTGGTGAGAGAACACATGAATCCATTGCCTATGGTGGCTGATTAAGGGTTGTGTTCTCCCACCCTGCAGGGACACGGAGTACAAAGGGCTGCAGCTCTCCCTGGATCAGATCTCAGCCTCCAAACCAGCTTTCTCCTATGCCAGCAGCTCCACTCCTACCATGCCTGACAACAGGAAGGGGGCCAAGTCCAGGCTCTCCGGTTCAAAGTCAAAATCCAGGACTTCTCCATACCCTCAGGTAGGTACATTGCATTTTGCAACTCTCTTTTTTTGTGACCTGGTTTGGTTTCATAGTGGAAGAAGTATTAAAACTGTTTGAAATTAATTATCTGGTTTTAAAAACTTAAGATTTCTATAAACCTAGAAAGCTTTCTAAAACTACCTTTTTTTCCTCTTCTTTTAAAATAACTATGCTAGTAAAAGTTTGAAATGATCTCGTGGTTTATTGCTTTTATATAAAGTTTATGAGAGTCTCAACTGCAGTCAGAACCATAAGTTTGTTATTTCAGGGAGACTGATCCAAAAATTTTCCCCCCAGAAAGATGTAGCCAGCATAGCAAAATATGGAAAACAAGAGCTTACTGTAGACAAATTGAATCTTAGGACAGGGACTGAAGTAGAAGGAAATGAAGAAATGGAGGCAAAGGATCAAGGATGCATGTCACCATGAGATTTGAGCACAGATGGACTATTTATGGAGAGGAATGAAATAAAGAGGGTCTTCCAGATGGCAGGAATGGTAGGAAAAGCAATTCTTCTCATCTTTGCAAGGTGGTGAGCTGATAAGATCCAGAGGAGGTATTCCAGAAACATTGCAAAGTGTAAAGACGAGTCTTGATTTTTGGAAGGGAAAAATTATTTTTCTGATCAGTCACTGAGATATAGAAACTAGTCTGTGCCAAAGTGTGTACACAACTCTCTTGTGGCCTGAAGGAAGTAGGACAGAACTGGGGAGTCTCTATTCCCAGTATCCTGTGAGCACCTCACTTCTACCCTTCGCTTTAAGGGTGCCACATCAAACTTTCTGCAGTTCATTGTAGTAACTTAGGAGATAATTCCTGGGCTGGTATAAAACCAAACTGGATTTGGAATCATTTCATCAAGGTGGTCTTTATATCACACACACACACACAGATGTGTGTATGTGTGTGTGTGTGTGTGTGTGTGTGTAGATAGATAGATATATCTATATATAGAGAGAGTGTGTCAATTTTAAATAGTTTTATTTGACATTGCATTTTCTATTAAATATATATATGTAATGTAAAAATGGTAATCTAGTGGGTGCAGAAATGATTATTTTCTTACTTGTCAAGGCTATAATATTCTGTTGATTTCTACAAGTGTATACTGTTTGAAGAAATGCCATTCGTTTATCTAACGGTCACTAAGAAGCTACTATTTGCTAGATTATTTAGTAGCTTGGTATATGAAGATGAGAAGATTATGACCCCAAGAGACTTATGTCACACGGTTAAAATTTTTCCACAGAAGTCCATATTTTTTTACTCTGATAAAAGGGAAAGAAGTTGTATGATGTCTAGATGTTTATCAGTGGACATCTTCTGAGCACTTTACTTATTAAGTGGATTTTAGTAAAAGTCACTGTGGAGGAGGAGTTTTTATTGAACATCTGAGAAGCTTTCCTTATTACTATCTCACACCTTGGGAAAAGTTTTACTGTCTCTTTTACTACTTGGATGGATAGATTATATCTTTGGATAATTCTATCCTTAAATATGTACAAGTGTTGGACACATAGATAAAAGAAGAGTTTAAATTAGGAAATACTAAGTTAAGAAGGAGTTTGTCAATTATACAGAAATTAAGCCACAAAAAATAAAATCTCCCCATTGAACTTCCAAAACTTCATTGTCTAAGTCTGTTTTCTTTCATGCTCAGTTCTTAATGTCTAAAATTTTTATTAGTTTACTCTAACAGTAAACTAACTACTCATTTTTAAAAAAACGTTTTACCTGCCATTAGGCTGTTCCTAGCATGTGTGGGGAGGAGTTAATTTGAAAGTTATACATGTTCTATAGGTTTTTTTTTTTTTAAAGCAATACAGAGGAGTGGAAAGTAGAAAATCCCTCTCCATTCCCTTGTTTTCCCTTTCAAAAATTGTGCTTTAATCTAGAAATGTTTTGTGATGTATAAGAATCATGCACATGTACACAATGTATGTCCACATAGGATTTCTTTTGACATTTTTCTGTTCTTTTTTGTGGTTAATATGTATATAAATGTAGTCCTCAGAATTTTGGCCATATGTCTCATTTGAAATTACACAGTAATGAATTAAGTTTACTTAACATGTGTATGCCTAGTAAAGGTTATTCTTTAATTGTGTTTACTTTAGGTAATCATGGTGCTAGGTCAATCATTGACTGAGTTCCTACTACGTGGGCTGCCAATACATAGAAATGAAACACAGTCTTTGCTTTCGAGGAGACACTTGTGTAGACAGACAAGGTAACAGGCATCTGTAGTGAATTGTCATGGGGTGAGCAGAAGGTCCTCTGAGGACACATTGAAAAAAGATGACATCCAAGGCAAACTCATTACTCTTCTGATGAAAGAACACAACTTAATACCATCATCTTGAATTCTAAATCCTCAGAAATTTTAAAGAAAAAATAATTTAGCTTTGCAAAAGTCTTATTTGGTTCATGTTATCCTTATATTATTAAGGGATACTTAACTCTTAATTTTCATGCATCATTTCTATTATATATCTTTGACTTAGTAGATGCTACCTGAGCACTTGCAACAGAAAGATGCTGTACTGGCCATTGTGCTGAATGAAGGTAGGGGTTGGGTAAAAGGTACTAGAACATAAAGAAGTGGTATAAAAAGGTGTCCTTAAGTTTTGCAGTACAGTTAGAATCAGGTATATATTAGAATCAGTAGCGTATAGGAGATGGTGTGTAGAAAGGGCTTTTTATGAGTGGTGGCATCTACAGGGCTCTAGCCTGGATGGCTGGGAAAGGTGTGGGTGATCTGGCTTTGAGGCTAGAATTCAAGTATATGGGCACAAAGGCAAGGAGAGGACACTTCAGAAATACTAAGATTATGAAGAAATGCAGAAGAGCATTGTTTGTGTGATTGGGGCTGAGGTGAAGTAGGGGAGGGTAGGTCTCTCTGGATGAGGTCTAGGGGCGGTATGTTTGGAAGCATTGATTGGTGCCAAATGTCTGCTAGGTCAAGAAGTTTAGAGTTGTTTTATAGGGAACCAGTAAAGGTTTTAAATAGAAAATAAGAGCACTAATTTTTGTTGTTGAAACAAAGCAAACTACTTATGAAATTCATTTTAATAGTTCTGGTGTGAGTCTGTGAAGGTCTAAAGCTTTTTACTGCCTTGTGGACAAAGAATGAGTAAAATTCTTTCTATCTTTGGCTTCTTGCACCTCTTCTCATTATAAGTATACTTGATCATTATCGATTTATTTTGAAATTATATTTTAAAGCTTATTTTTTCTTCAGATAAATATCCAGAAGTGGAATTGCTGGCTCATATGGTAGTTCTGGTTTTAATTTTTTGAGGAACCTTCATACTTTTCTCCATGGTGGTTGCACCAATTTACAGTCCCACTAACAGTGTACAAGAGTTCCCTTTTCTCCACATCCTCACTAACACTTGTTATTTGTTGTATTTTTGATAATAGTCATTCTGACGGGTGTGAGGTTATATCTCAATGTGGTTTTGATTTGCATTTTTCTGATGATTAGTGACGTTCAACATCATTTCATGTCCATTGACCATCTGTATGTCTTCTTTGAAGAAATGTCTGTTCTGGTCCTCTGCCTGTTTTTTAATTGGATTATTTGTTCCTTTGATGTTGAGTTGTGTGAGTTCTTTATATACATTTAGATATTACTCTCTTATCAGACGTATTATTTGCAAATATCTTCTCCATTCAGTAGGTTGTCTTTTTGAAAAGATATATATATATATACACACACACACACACATCCACACACACACACACACACACACACACCTGTGTTCATTGTGCATTATTTATGATATACAGATATGGAAGCAACCTAGGTGTCCGTTGATAGATGAATGAATTAAGATGTTTTATACACACACACACACACACACACACACACACACACACACACACACATACATATAATGAATATTACTCAGCCACAAGAAAGAATAAAATCTTTCCATTTGCCACAGTATAGATGGACCTAGAGTGTATTATACTATGTGAAATAAGTCAGACAGAGAAAGACAAATGCTATGTAAATTCACTTATCTGTGGAATCTAAAATAAAACAAAACAAAACAGAAACAGACTCACAGAAACAAAGAATAAACTGATGGTTGCCAGTGGGCAATGGGGAGGATCGGTAAAAAAGGTGAAGGGGAATAAGAAGTACAAACCTCCAGTTATTAAAAAAAAAGTCATGGGAATGTAATGTACAGCATAGGGAAAATAGTCAATATTATTATAATAACTTTGTATGGTAAGAGATGGTTACTAGACTTGTCGTGGTGATCACATTGTAAGAAATAGAAATGTTGAATCACTATGTTGTATACCTAAAACTAATATAATATTGTATGTCAACTATACTTTAATAAAAATATAAAGCTTACTTTCTGTAGTTAATATCACACTTGTACTGAATTTCCCTTTATATATTAATAGACATAACAAATCTATTTTTAGTTACTAAATTATTAAGCTTTTAATTGTATTTAATTTTAAATACTTCTCTTTTCTTAAAAATAGAGATTTCTTTTTGCTATTTCAATGTTTACATATTTTGAATATGCAAATTTTAATCAGATTTTTATAGAGACAGTTTCCAGAAAAAAATTGAGCATTTAGGTTAATGTCTTGTGCCTTTTATTAGTTATGAAAATGGTGGTTTAAAAATCCTATTAATATTATTTATTAGCCTCTTTGCTCCATTATGTTTTAGGCATATCTAGAAATTTCTAACAGATGTCTGATGAACGGCAAACAGCAACATGTCTTTTTGGAATTATTGAGGTACCCTTATTTGGACATGCAAGACATGCACGAATTGTAATTCACTGCCACCACCTAGTTTGTCTACAATAGTAGATGAACTTTCAGGTCCTCTCCTGGTATGAGTTGCCCTTGGAAATGATTTTAGACTTGATTATATTAGAGTCACTTAATGAATGACTCAATCACCTTTGTACCTCTATGTATTACTCAGGACAAGAGAGGTCAAAATAGAATTGTTTTG